TGTTTTCAATTTATAATTAAAGACAAGACTATATTATTGACCTTCAAGGGGAATACATGTATAAGGATTTATTTTTCCTACATTAAAATAAAAATAGATTGAAAACAATTCTGAAAAGTTATTTCACCTGCATTTGAATTCTACTCAAGTGAACATAATATTCAGGCACAAAGAATCGGAGAAGAGGGAGGGATTGTTTTAGCCATTTCTAATTTGAAAATGTTCATTGAAAGTCTTGTAACCACCCCCTCTTTCTTATACAGTATAGTTAAAAAATCTCTCCTACTTGAGTGAACAAGATGAACATTACATTCAGGGATATAGAATCAGGGATGGGGTGTCCACCCCCTTCCACTTCCATGAAGGTATTCTTTTTTATTTTTTCGCTTGAAAATGGTCATTGCAAGTCTGGTTGTCCTACCCCCAACTTTTTGATACAATAGAGTAAAAGAAAATTCCACTTACATCAATAAACTTTTTGAGGGGTTCATCAAAGATATTTTTAACTAAAAGTATTTTTTGACTCTTATAATGCGCCATTTCCCCTTTCGATGCTAAGCCCGACATTTATTTTTTCTACATTGCACCAAAACTACATTTCAAATGCAAAAATACTACTGCATGGTTATGCTTATGTTAACTCCTATTCTTTAACTGTGTTTGGTTAGACTTGAGCAAATGTAAAGAAACTTGACATGTCTGCGTAATCAGTTTGTATCAATTTAATCGTTGAATCATATTGCTATTTTTCTGTCAGGACGATCAGTGATTTTCCACCATCGAAAAACAATGCTGTGACGGTACATATTGTCGTTTTGTACATATTGTCGTCGGCGACAATATGTACCTACCCTCACTGCACATATTGTCGTCCATCGGTATATATTGTCGCCGGCGACAATATGTACCGAGACGAGCCTTATTTTCTTCCTGCATAATGGACGACAAAATGTACAGTCAAGCACCAGCACATATTGTCGTCGGCGACAATATGTACAGTCAAGGTCGGCATATATTGTCGTCGATATATTGTTTTGACGAATACTAGTATTTCCTTGAGAAAGGAAAGAGAGATTTACAAACACACACACGCGCGCGCACGGAGGGAGACAAACACCATTTCTAACAATACTGTAGGGAGAAAACTTTCTGGGCAGAAAATTGTGTCCAGGATTGATGTACATCACTATGATATGTCAAAATACCGTAATTCTTTGAGACATCTGATAAATCAGCCTAATCTTTTTTCTTGTAAAATATACTTGGGAGATTGAATACACGTATTAGTTTTTTTGTTCAGTAGTAATGATTTTTTTTTGGAAATTAATTTTGCGTTTTTCTTATATACAATCATATGTAGATTAATTGGTGTTGAGGTTCACATTTTTAGATCACCTGAGCTGGAGTTCAAGTGAGCTTTTCTGATCGCATTTTGTCTGACCGTGCCTCTGTCTGTAAACTTTTCACAATTTCAGCTTCTTCTCAAGAACTACTGGGTTAATTTCAACCAAACTTGCCACAAAGCATCAGCGGGTAAAAGGGATTCAAGTTTGTTCAAATGAAGGGCCAGGCCCTCTTTCAAGGGAAGAAGTTAAGGATTAGTAAAAATTTAGTGACATCTTTTATAAAATCTCAAACACCACTGTGTCAGAAATGATGAAACGTATGTGAAAGCTTCATTATGACTTGTAGATTCAGTTTTACATGTATTCAGATCATGTCTCTCGAGGCTACAATAGGTGATCAAATTTTTTTCAAAGAATATTTAGAAAAAAAAAATCCTTCATTTTTTGTGCTGGGTCAGAAGAGATGATACTTATGTGAAAGCTTCGTTTTATAGCGTACGATCAATTTTGCGTAGCTGACACGAAAAAAAATCCCTAACTGCTCAATGACCATGAGTGCCAAGCATAGATCTAAAGAACTACACACGCTAGCTCTCGATTCCCGCCTACATTTTACACCCATTTAATTCAATACTAATGACAATTTGGCCGTAAAATCTTTGTTGAATGCAAAGAACAGTTCAATAGTAATTTTAATTCCAGTGTTAAATAGTTATTTACCCCTAATTCCAGCTCTTTGAATAAGGGGGGTAGACGATATTTTTCACTGAAATCGGGCTTTAAAGCATCACCACGTTTTAAAATATTCTTGGATATGAATAAATTTTTCTCAGATCTTTTCTATTACTCATATAAAATTAAACATATATTATTTATAAAATACAATGTTTTAGTTGTAAACCCAAATGATATTGGTAAAAAAAAAATAACCATTTTGGTAGTTTTTTGTCTGTTAACATATGTTCCCCCCGTGAAACAACAAAAGCTTTGGTATGAATTTGTGAAAGGACAGTCCATATTACCTGTAAAAAGGAATTTTGTTACACCATGGGGGGGGGGGGGGTTCTGTTGTTTTCTATAGTGAAAAATCATAAGTTTTACCAAAATTATTGAGTTATCTCTCATTGTTTTCCCAAAGAAGTAATGTCTTATGAAAATTCATATGAATATCTATATAGATATGAAAAATCATTCAAATATGTTAACTTTTGAAAAATGACTTGGAGGTAGGAGGGAGAACAATACTATAGTTTGCAGTTCTTTGCAGCCCTCTATCGGCAAGTGGTGACGTCTACGAATAAAAAAAAATCTCTAGATGGTCATTATAAAAACAAAGACAAAATCATTTTGTTCAAATTATGACCCCATGGAATAGGTTGGGATCACAATGGGTGATTAAAGTCTTACATAGGAATATATACAGAAAATATTTAAAAATCTCATAAACCAGACTATAGGACCGGCGCATCCCCCCCCCCCCCGGTTTAATTTTTTGTCTGATTTGGTAAATTCTGTTTGTTTAACTTGTATATACTCTCAAATACTCTCAATTTAGTCCACAGGTAGATTTCATATTTCAGTAATTTACTTAACATATACAGTAACACACTTTTACATGCAAATGACTTTTTAAAAATATTTTAGCTTGTCAAAAAAAAGAACCACCCTCTCTTTTGTCTGGATCCACCACTGAGAACAGCAGTAAGCCCGTGAATAGTGATACGTATATGGAAGTTTCCTCAGGTAGCGCAGATTCAAGCATCTTCATATCAAACCGGGCCTAGGTTTGGGCCACAATAAACGATCAATTTTTTACATAGGAATATAATTCTTTAATGATTATCTTCTCAAAAAGAGATTAAGGCAATGCAACAGAGCAAAACAAAGCAATGATTAGTCATATTTATATGGATTGTTGATTGATTGATTATTATTATTATACCTCTACTGAATTTTTCCCTATACATGTATAACATTAGATCGCTAGATGTGACTATTTCCCTAGAAATCATTTTAAAAGAATGGACTAATCCCCGTATGTTAGTCAAGTGAGCTAATCCCCGCTTCGAAAGCTAATTCCCGGTTATCCGTAATCCTCTAGGTTTTACATTAAAATTGGTATTATATGTGAATGGACTAATCCCCGTGTGTTAGTTCATTGACCTAATCCCTGCTTTGAAATCGCGCTATCTGAATCCTCTAAATTTTACGTTTGTATCGGTTTAATAAAACAGTTAAAAGTAAATCATTGAGGCTTCGCCTCGGGAAATAGTCCTGGCCTTGGGGAACTGAAATCTTGCTAACTCCCTCAATGATATACCTTAACTGTATATTGTTGTTTAACACCGAGCTGGCAATATTTCAGCCATATTTTGACGAGAACATTTAGTGTATATGGCCATTTTTGAAGTTTATAGTTTCTCTGGCCATATTTATATGGATCATTGCCGTGCATTGTCATGCGACATGTTCTGATGGGTGACAATATGCAGAGTGAGGGTAGGTACACATTGTCGCCGGCGACAATATGAACAAGACGACAAAATGTACCGTCAAAATCACGCTGCATGAAATAGGATACGAGACACGTCAGTGTGATATACACCCCAATTACATTCACAAAACTACCAAAAAACAACAAAAGAAGTCTTTAAGCAACAATATCTGTGGGGCGACAATATGTACAGTGAGGGTGAGGCACATAATGTCGCCAGCGACATTATGTACATGTGTTACTTTTCAGCCGGCGACAATATTTACCGATGGACGACAATATGTGCAGTGAGGGTAGGTACATATTGTCGCCGACGACAATATGTACAAAACGACAATATGTACCGTCACAAATGCTCTCCTCGCCTTTTGTGCTCAATAAATCTTTAACTCCACTTGATTCTGAATCATTAAATTGACCTTAAAACAGCAATGATTGTATAATGTAATGAGATCAATATACATGTATCATCGATTTATTCCCAATGAAGCTCAAGTGAGCATTTTGGCCCTTGATTTATTATTTTTATTTTGCCCCCTATAAGTTTCAACTTTAATCCGTTCTAATTCACAAGGGGTCATTATTCTACGGGGGTCATTTTTCTTCACGTAGGGTTTGCAGGTTTTTAGGGTTATGAGACTTTTTCTACGGGCAAAAGGGTCATTTTTCGACGTCGAATAATGACCGGGGGTCATTTTTCGCCGTTGAATAATGACCGGGGGTCAATATTCGACGTCGAAAAATGACCCCCGGTCATTATTCTATGGGGGTCATTATTCGTCTTTACACCTGCACATATCGTCGGCGACAATATGTACCGAAGGATGACAATATGTACATTGAGGGTAGGTATATATTTTCGCCAACGACAATATGTACCGTCACAAGGTTAGCCTCTAACTCCAGATTGAGGCCATTCACTTTTTATTACGAAGGGATGCAAGCTTAAAGGAAAAACCTTTTAACGATTTATTATTTATAAAAGAAAAAAGAAAAGAAAACACACAAACTTTTAATCGGGAAGCATCCATTTATTTATTTTTTTAATCATTAAGATAAAGTTAAAAGAGCAGCGTACAATAACGGGTGTCATCAAAGATTTATCTCTCAGCAAGAACAATTGATATCGTTTGTTCAATGTTAGAAGTTAAAGTACTCACGTGCCATCTTATCGCCGTGTACTGTCCAGTATGCATATTGTTATATCTGACCCGTGCCCCAACACCACTCAGGTCGAGGGCGTTGGCCCCCACCCCCGTCTCCCGGCTAAACCTCCAAATGAGATTATCTGTCACTAAATTTCCCGAGGGGGTTAGTGTGGTACGATCGCCTCCTAAACAATGTCATCAGAAGAATTTTTTTCAAAAAACTTTAAATAAACTGTTTATGATGTAGACTTGAAATAAACTGATATTGTAAACTCTTGCCTTGTAAATAAATCCCCCCATCGCCATCGTGAAGATTGCAGCGAGTTATGGTGACGTTACGTGAGTCCCCGGGGCAAAAAATGTTGTAAGAACCTGTCAAATAAAAACAAACCTATTTTGAGCACTTTCTGTACTTCTGTCAGCTAATTTTAAATAAAAACTTAATTGAATAAATTTATATGAAAGGAATTGATGGCAAACTAACAACTAAACTCTGTGATAAACATGATGACTTTGAACAACTTTTCTATTGTCAACTTCCCTTATTCATGTAGCAATATCCCTGTATATATCCACGGACTATACGCCTCCAAGTTGATTTAATACACAAAAGCAAGTTCTACCAGTATTGATGAACAATTTCCCAAACAAGATAGCCTATTGACAAATAAGTTGATGATACAAGGATATCGACAACCTCGTTTAAAGGCAATATTTCGCAAAGTCTATGGTGGAAACAACGACATTGTTTGCAAATGCAATTTGTTGATAGGTCGAATATTGACAGACGTCTTTAATATAAATTGTTAGGCCATTATTACTAATCCTGGGTATTAAAAGAAGCCCAAACTAGAAAAAAAGACCGAAAGCAGCGCAAATATTTAGGAAACCACAAAGGGAGTTGCCAGGGCTGAACTGCTTTTCAGAACGTGATACAAATTCTGTCAAACGGTATTTTCACGTGTTTCTCCTAAGGCATTGTGCATAGCATTTGTAAGTCACGTGATATCACCCATTTAAACATCCATAGCATGTTTGTTTTGTCAATATAGTTTTTTTTACCGAAATTTCTGTTAAAAATATTGCTGTCAACCGAAAAAAAACCAGCAACATGATTTATTTTTATACATATTTTTTTTTTATGCATACACGTAGATTTATTTTGTAAGAAAAACTTTCGTCTAATCGGCCGAAGCGACTTTAATTGGTTCACAAAAGTAAGTTAGGCTGGAAATTTTCTTGAGATGCAGTATCAGCGTTTACAGACTTTGCAATAGGAATTTTGTATGATTCTTGTTTATACATGTATGAGGTCGCATTGCATTTCATTAAATCTAGCACATGTATATATTTTTTTTTTCTCAGAACACACAAAAAAATTACTTTTCCCCTCTAACACGACACTACTCTAAGTCTTTCTTTACTTTATGAAGCTGGTTTTATTTTTTAATTCCTTTGTTACACTTTGAGAAAGCTTACGCTTAAAAAATTCAGCAATGTATATTTCATTTTAAAATTCAACTAGTTGTTTCATCCAGTATACATGCGCACATAACACGCACTTGCAAATTGATGTTTTAAATAAGAACTGTATAACCTGAGTTCTTTATCTCCATTTGTTCAAAATTAACATTTCTGACGTTATGGCCCTTTAGTCCAAACCTCCTGCAGGCCTCCAAAGTAAAACCCTTGAACACTAAATTACTGGCTCCATCAAAGCTGAAAAAAAACGTAAAAGCTAACTGAAATATGATTATCATAGAAGAAATCTTCTAAATAATAATATTATGAATAAGAAATTGACATTAAAATTGAAAATTTAGTGTTCAAGTACACATATTTACGTATCATTCTTCAACAAGAGGCCCATGGGCCACATCGCTCACTTGAGCTCATTGGCTATGAAGAAGCAGAAATCAGTTCAGTATTCAAAGGGGGGCAGACTTTAATTTACACTACCTCAGGATAGTTCCATATCAATATTTATAATTATGGCTTTACTGTACTTAAACAGAAGAATTTAAAATATTTTCCCCTATGTTTTCCACCGTTATGGTAGCTCATTCTGTAGAGCGCTCGCTCCGTGATCGGAAGGCCGTGGGTTCGAGCCCCGACCGCGACTGACCTAAGTTGATAAAAAAAAATTGATAGCAACTGTTCCTTCGCCAAGCGCTCGACACTTTGAAGTGAAAGTTGCGGGTCCTTCGGATGAAACCTTAAAAACCGAGGCCCCGTGTCACAGCAGGCGTAGGCACGATGTTCAATCACCCTGAATGCTGAGTAAAGGTCTAAATTTGAAGCCCTCCACCGGTATATGGTGAAGACTCTATATTAGGGAAAAATTCTCGAACCCTACGTAAAACAACATATAAAACTCTGATCTCTCATTGTGGCCCCACCCTACCCACTCTAAATTTGAACAAATTTGAATCTACAATACCTGAGGATTCTGATTAATCATGGCTTTGCTGTTCTTGAGCAGAAGATTTTTTCAAGATGATGCCAACAAACTTGATTCGACAATACCTAAGGTTGCTTCTATATAAATATGACTAATAATGGCTTAGTGGTTCTTGAGAAGAAGAGTTTAAAGATATGTCCTATGTAAAAGCATTTTACAGTAGTAAAGGATTTACCAAAAGAAAGTTTCAAAAATGTAATTAACTAAGCAGGAATTAATTAACAAAGAGTGCATTGAAGTCTACAGGGACTAGCAAATTTTTAGAAAAAAATTCAAATAATAAGAATATCAATAAATATTGTGGTGGAAAGATGCACCAAAACATTAGAAATAGAATGACAATTGAAAAAGATTTATTTTTACCAGATAAGTTTTGTAAAATTGATTTTTTTTGATTCATTGATTTATTTTATTCCTATGTAAAACTTGACCCAGTGTTGTGGCCCTGCCCTGCCCCTGGGGGTCATGATTTGAACAAACTTGAATCTACACTACCTGAGGATACTTCTGTATTAGTATAACTAAAAATGGTTAAGCTGTTCTTGAGAAGAAGATTTTTAAAGACATTTCCTATATATTCTTTTAAAGACATTTCATATATATTCCAATGTAAAACTTCGACCCCCTCTTGTAGCCTGTCCTACCCCCTGGGGTCATGATATGAACAAACTTGAATCTAGAGTATGTAATGAAATTTTTTATATAAGTTTCATTTTTTCTTGCGCAGTGGTTCTTGAGAAGAAGATTTTTAAATGATGCCTCCAAATTTTTACGAATTCTTAATTATCTCCCCTTGAAAGGGGGCGCGGCACTTCCTGTAAACAAAATTAAATTTCCTTCACCCAAGGATGCTTTGTGGCAAGTTTGGTTGAAATTGGTCCTGTGGTTCTCGAGAAAAAGTCGAAAATGCTAAAAGTTAACGGACAACAGACGACAGACGGACGCCGGACACTCTTTGATCAGAAAAGCTCACTTGGGCCTTTAGCTGTGAAAGTGATTGCACATTAGTTTTCCTCAAAATTTCCCAAAAGCATAGGAATATCCATGTATATGAATGACCATCAAAACATTCATTTCATGCAAAGCAAGAAAAACCAAATAGAACTACATCAAATAACCACTTTTAGAGTAAACAAAAGTATAAGGGACAATTCTTGACTTTTGGGCCAATATTAACTTGTATTTAAACAACAAAACTACATATTTATGTACCTGCTTTGAGGTCAAAGAGTGTTGAAATCATTTAATACTTTTGTTATTACTGAAAAATATAGGATGGAGCAATTTTTATTGAATTCAATATTTGTTGACAAAAAGATAGCTAATGCCCCTTTAACTATTTCAATGATGAATTTGAAAAACTGTGACTTTTTTCATCACAAATTTTTTTTAAATAATTAATATGAAGTGCTAGGAAGCATCAACGTAAAAATATTAAATTACGTTAAACAGTCCTCTATTAAAGATGAATAAATAATGTCATGGTTGCTAATTAGCCCATTGGACGTCGGTGGCCAAAGGTACAAAATTCCCGAGGATCTGTCAATGTAGTATTCTCCCTGAAATCAAACATTAAATATTAATTTTAGGAAATCAATAGTATTTTATGTCGATCATTCTATTTGAGAAAACTGTTCACATGTTATTTTTTTATGTACTGGCCATTCCATCTAGATTTTTTCTACTTCCACTTATATTTATTGGAGGTCATAAATTCGTGGGTCTCTTTATACCACAAAATGATAATACAAAAATAAACCCTCATAAAATTTGGTTTTGTTTTGTTTGTATGTTGTTTAACGTCCCTCTCAAGAATTTTTCACTCATATGGAGACGCCACCACTTGCCGGTGGAGAGCTGCAAATTTTGTCCTATACTTGGCATTTATGGCCATTAAGCAGTGAGGGATCTTTTCTGCGACAAGGGACCTCGGTTTATACGGTCTCATCCGAAGGACCGGTCTCCACGTCCCACAGTGGGATTCGAACCCGCGACGTAAGGATCAACTCTTTACTCCGCGACTCTAGAGCAGACGCTCTAACCACTGCGCCACGCGGGCGACCATAAAATTTGGTGATTTTACATGAAAATTTGGTGATTTTATATGATTTGAACATCAATCTATTTGATGTCAATTTAGAGAGTTTTTTTTCATTTTTAAATATGAGAATTAAAATAACTCCTACCGGTTCATCAATTTCGCCCAAAACGTTGAGGAATCTGAAGTATCCTCCCTGACTGGAGTATTTGATATTTTCGTTGGACTGGTTGTTGAAATGTCCTATGGTTGTAAATAGAGATAAATAAACTTGCAAGTTTGCAAAAGAAAATTGCCGCAACATTTGTTGCTTGGTTTTCACAGCTACTTTAACTGCTATATTACCAATTCGTAGACCGTAGTGAGTTGCATGTTGTAGTTCTACCACGTGATGTACGGCGTCTATAGAATGTATCTTAGCAGCCAAATCGGCCCAACTCCAATACCTAAAGGAAAATAGACTTTAAAATATTGTACAAAGTCTTCTTGAGAAGGAAATTTTGCAATTTGTTTTTAATTTACACTTGCCAGTATTTAATATGTTTGACAACACAACCGTTGTGGCAAGTGCACTTGTTTATTTACGTTTGGATAGCAACAATCTTAATATATACTATATACTAAGATCCTCCTCTTCAAACCTCTCCAAACCATACTATTTTATTGTATCATGTGTATATACATGTAAGTTACAAACTGATTTTAAATGAAATCACATAAAGTCTATACTTGATTAGTAAATGTGATTTCAGAAAGTGTTTTGGCATTTAAAATAAAAAAATATTTTATATGGTTTCCATAAGGATGATAACGAACTTGTAGCACGTGAAAATTCTTGCATAGGTGGCTTATGGAAATTAATCACGTGCTGCCACTGGTTGGTTATCACCTCTTAAACAAAAAAATAGATAAAAAAAAATTTATTCCTTGAAATTTTTAAACAATCGGAACATTTTCACTCAAACAATCAATACAAATGTATACTAAATGTTTTTGTTCTTTGTTACCAATATCCGTAAGCCCACAGATCATCTTCAGATGACCATCTCCTCGGTCTTTCGCTGTTGTAAGAAAATCGACGCCCATGAGTTCCACTCAGGACATTTTTTATATTAATGAAACCTTCATTTGGCCATCTCGCCAATCGAAGAGGTTCTCCATTATAGAATATCTCAAGTGGTGCCTGTCTGATTTTGTAGAACCCATAAGCAGTTAACTGTCCAAGATCTGATATACCAGCATCAGACAGCTTCACTTGATATACCTGAAAGATTAATAGTCTTATGTTACGAATGCTGGCTACATCTACATGTCACATTTTAAGCTCTTTCCAACTCGTATTCCTGCACGTCGACTGAATAGCATGAATACCGGAAATATTTTCTCTGCCATCTTGTGTACTTAGACTGACGTAGAGAAAAATCACGAAATGAATCAAATACCTTGTTCCGTGATTCTGGTGGAAGTCGGTGAAGGATCGCTTGGTCAGACACTCTATGAAACGAGTTACTAGGTATCCTTTTTCCCCCTGTCTGAAATAGAAGGATTTTAAATTTGTATCTCAGTTAATTTTCTATCATCATCTCTTGGAGACTGAAGACTAAAAAGGAAGCGATTACATTTCGATGAAAACTCCGAAAATAAAGATCGAGCATCGCAGGTGGGTAACGTGTAAATATAGGAATCATTCAGTTTTACCAAGGCAAAGTGATAATCATATCTAATTATACCGTAGATTAATAGATATAAAACATAAGATTAACCTCTAGGGTCCCGTTTTACAAAAGAACTTACGACTAAGACCAAAAACTTAAGTTCATTGTAAAATTTTGCAAAATTAATGATTCTGTTCAAATTTGCTAGCATGAAAATATCTCTCAACATTCCTTTTAAAAAGATTTTTCATATAGTGTAAAGTAGAAAGTTTTGAGCAGAATTAAATTTTGATCTTAGTCGTAATTAAGTTCTTTTGTAAAACGGGCCCCAGGTTACAAGGAAAATATTTTTATTTAAAAATGCAAAGTTTCCGAGAAAGAATAGAATGGAAGAAAGAAAAAATACCACATGGACTTCCTGGTCGTTATAAGCCTTAATGGTGAGTGTGTGGGAGGATTGATGATGTATGTACACCGGGGCATCCAGATCATGGTAGCCGTGCATTAGATTGATGGTCACGTCTAAAAATTATAAATCAATGCAGGAATAAATGGATTCATAAGTGAAAACTCGACTGTTAGCTGAAGTGATATTTTACCTGTATTTTTCAAACTAGGTACACTTAGAAGGGACACGGCTTTTCTTATGGTTTTGACTGGATGATGGACATCTTGTCTGAATTTAAAACAAGCTGTATATGAGACTGTTCAGAATCTTTCAAACTGATTTTATTATTTAATTTTGACATTTATGTACAGTACCAGCATTTTTATTCTTTATAGGATATGCAATACGATAGGATACACGAACGATACAATAGGATACACGGACGATAGGACACACGCACGATACGATTGGATACATGATCGAAACGGTATAAACGGAAAACAAATAAAAGACCTGATTTACGATCTTCTTGATAAGATTCTTTCAAATTTCGGAACGTTTTGGACGAAACGAATTGTTTCCTTTTAAATGCACTATCATCATGTTAGTTTTAATTATGTACAAAGCTGCACAACTATATGTTAAAATATATTAAGTTAACATATGAGGTATAATTATGCTTAATAAAAACTAATTTTTTTTTTTCTTGTCACTTGTCACCAAATTTTTTGTAGTTAAAGCTAAATGATTAATCATATGATTACCAAGGTAAAAAGCTTCGAGTATGTAATTACGATTAATGCAAAAACGATAAAGATTACAACTATCGTTGAAGATAATAGATACGGACATTATTTACGTCATTTCTACCTTTCGCTGTCTTTGGGATCTTCAGAAAACAATTTCCTACATTAAAAACGTAGCTGAGTTTCAAAATGTCCAAAATGCACAAAAAGGAGTGTGTATTCATGAACTAGTCAACACTTTATAAATACCCATTGTTATGGTCATTTCCATGAGTTGACACATAAATGTTCACAGCCTTTGGAAGTCCATCTAGAATAAAAGAGTTGGAGTTGACAACCAACACAAATAGCAATGTAGCCACAAGCACCATTGTGTTCAGAAATAAATGATAAATTTTGTTCAGAATGAATATTAGTAATATGCTAGTACAAACTCCATGTGTACTTGCAGTATTCAGGAATGTACTATAAATAATTGTATATATTGATAAGAAAAGTTGGATAATGGGTTCTCGATTACGTAACCCGAGAAAGGTCATAGGGAAACAGATTTCAGTGTGGGTTTCAAGTACATGGAATAAAAAATGCCATTCGTCTGCTCTCAATACCTTTTAAGGAAAAACTTTTCATTGAAAATGTACATATCTATAGAGCTACGTAAATCGAACATCAATAGGAATTCAAAAATCAAACTTGATGAAATATTTTCGTACATATACATATAGATGTAGATTTTATATCAACATGGTATTTACTTTTGTTTTTATTCATATTCTGTGAGGCAATGATCACGTGATGGAGAATCACGTCCACCACACGTGTCAAAATGGTTCGGACTGTGGTGTTATTCACTCGGGAAGAGATTGGACGTAAATATGGTTAACTTTTCAGCCCTTGTCTTTAGTATGTTCTTATTCAGAATTTTCAAAACATGATTCAAAAGAACCTTGAAACATGTAACATATCGTCAAATCAGATCCCAGGTAATCGAAATGCACAAATTTGTTCAAATGGGATAAATCCCACGAATATTGACAATGAAACTATTTCACCCATAAATTGTTAAACATTCATTGGATATATCCCATAAATTGTGATAATGATATCTCACTTCTCATAATCTGTGGGATATATCCCATGTTTAACAATGTATGGGAGAAAATGACTCATTGTCAATATCCATGGGATTTATCCCATTTGAACAAATTTGTGGGAGAAAAAATCCCAATGGGAGAAAATATTCCATCTGACACTTTTTCTCCCATCGGAGAAAGGTGGGAAGAGTTGTTAGTATTAAAAATCCCACCATTCTGCCATGGGATTCCGACTTTAAGGACTTCATATCTTTATTAGAAAGAAGAGATGTTTGTGAGTTCAACACGAGACATGTGAAACTGCTAAGAAATCCCACCAAGTGCTATAATTAATTTTGGGACATTGCAATTAGAAATGATAGTAAAAAGTCTGGACAATGTCGTGTCCGGAGCTAAATGTCGCACTGTTCAGTGCAATTGGTGGACGAAATAATAATTACAATGTTTTCTACATTGTAACTTGGCCCGTTCTTAAGTGGACCACTGGGGGATTGCTCATAAATCTAATGGAACTCTGTTCAAATCTCTTCAGGCTGGAACAATTTTTATTGTCTTACGGAAAAACGTTTCAATACATAACAGGTACAGGTGTAAATTCTGTTTTTTACATTAAATTTAAATTTACATTAAAAAAAATTAAAAAGTAGTAACGAAACAGAGTATATTATATTTAATATGAAGTGTTGTGATTTCTACCAAGTCTGTTAACTGTAATAGGGAATGTAAATTGTCTTTCAAGTAAAACATGTTAATTCTATAAGGAAAATATGTGTCCAAAAGGTTTAAATATCCGTGTTATCAATCAATGTTGAGTCGAAACTTTTGTGAACAAAAAATACTAGGGTAATAAAATAAAATTATATTTTTTGTTGTAAATTTTTTTTCGCAAAAATGTAAATTACGACTTAATGCAAAACGAAGATATAAGACATCATATTTTTATATTGGATAATGTAAAATGCGTATGGCACAAGTTAAATATTGTTATGAAACATAATGTTAAAGGATTCTACTTTGAAACAAATTCAAAAATACATTCTAAAATAATACCATTATTTCATATTTAGCGTATGGAATATATTAATTTTAAAATGGAATTTATATTCAAAATACTTTACAAGAAAAGTCAATATCAGTGATTCATTATACAAGGATATCTAGATTTCATACTGAACTTTTCGAAAACAAACGCGTTCAAAGAAACAGTTAAATGTCTTGCAAATTTGTTATTAAAAAAACTTATGTTTTGTTTTTATTGATTGTATGTCCCTGGTTATCCACAATACCCAAGTTAACTGGCCATTGTAAAACGGGAATTGTTTTAAATTTTGTGATAAAAGATTAAAAAAAATTTTTTTTTTTTGGTACGAAGACATCATTCATAAAAGAATTGGTGCAAAACACAACCTGATTTAATGTACCGGGTTATATGAGTTTATTTGGTGCAAGCTCAAAATAGCGTGAATCTTAAAACACTAAATTCTTTTCTATCCTACTATCAAGGGAATAAATTTCCAGTATGCAGGTTATACCTGCAGAAATCTAACCTTGTTTCTCAAAAAATTATTGTATTTCAGATATTTACACCTTCTTCAAATTAAACAACCTCTAGATAAAAAAGAGATTCTGAAATCCCTTTTGATCGTACTATTTACAGTCATATTTTTACATATAAAGTACATGTATACTTTCATTTTGATATTCTTCTTTCACAAATATGACTATGTCATATATCTTACTACTCCCAAGCCATTCCGTTTGATGGTTATTTTTGCTCTGAATTCATTTGTATTTCTATCTGATTCACATGCTGTGTTTTGAAATATTTTTACATTTCCGCTGAATTTTAAAAGATTGATTCATCAATTCACTCGTCCAAAGTTTAATGATAACATGGATAATATAGAATTAGAAATGGATTAACCTGTACTACTATATACATATGCCTGAAAGATACATTGGACCAACGTAATTCCAACTAGATAAAAAAAAATTTAACTGCAATTTATTGATCATACCATTTTCAATTGACAAAATATACTGAAAAAAATACACACTGCAAATTTCTAGTATTAAGAAAGTTCACTTTTCACTTTTTTTTCATAAGTTTCACTGCAAATATCCAAAACCATACACGTGTATAATACTTGGCTTAATTGTTAGTTCTTACCTCATAAGTTCTCTCTGTCCCTGCTATGGCTGTTGTAGATTTTTTCCCCCTCTTCTCATTCCTCCGATCTTTACGTCTTTGATGTCTTTTCACTTTCCTCTCTATTTCTCTTTTTTACTTTCAACGCAGCGTTTCACTTCTAAGTAATTTTATGGCTAAAATTATTTTGACCAGTACACTCTTTATTGGATACAATGTATATACATGAAATATGGAGATAACGAAGAGTATTCAAGCTCAAAGTCCATTAAAACAATTCAAATCGGGAGCAGAGCAAACACGGACCTAAAAAAAAAAAACAGAAGTGGGATCAGGTGCCATGGATGAGTGAGCATCCCCTGCCAACCGGTCACACCCGCCGTGTGCTCCTTGTCATGATCGGTAAATAACGGGGGGGAAATCCGTCGACAAATCAGTGTGTAAATAATGGCCTAACAATTAGTATGAAAAACTTCATTCAGTAAATAACTTAATTATAGCTTGTATTTGCTGACAAGGTCATTGTATTGACCATAGAACCTACGAAATGATGACTTGAAACTAGACTGTTAATATTCTTGTTTCATCAACTTGTTTGTCAATAACTTACCTCGTTTTAGAAATTGTTTGTACGTATATCATGCTCTTGCGATCGAATCAACTGAGAGATATAAACCCCATTTGCAGGTGATAAGGGTATATTTAAGAAATGAATTAAATTTTTGAAGATTCATGAGGACATGAACTACGACGCTTCACGCTGGCATATTTCATGAAGTCGTTAGCGCTTCATGATAAATATACCGGCGTGAAGCGTTGTAGTTCATGTACCTCATGAATTTACAAAAATTTAATTCATTTCTTATATTTACATTATTTTTCTGATCAGTTGCAACATATTACGCCATTCAACTGTCATTTTTTAAGCAGAACAGTTTGCATTATAGTTTTGACCTCAATTGTGGTATTATACGAAACAATGGAGATATTCATGCTCATCAATGGTAGTTCATGAGAAAATAAACAGTCTTCTAAATTGCAAAGAATCTTAGGAAGTAAGGAAAAATATTTGGAAATGTAAATATTACTGCATAAGTAAGGAAAGTAGCCGATGGAAAAGTTATAGTCATCACGTAAAATAGTTCGATAAAACTAAAATGCACGTTTCATCGAACTATTTTACGTATCCTAAGTTATAATCGTATGCAAAATCTTAAGAGGGACCGACCCTCTGATAAGAGAGATAACCTTATTTAAGTAAAAGTTCAAACTGATTGATGGAACTGGACGTTAGTAAACTATATATATATATATATATATATATATATATATATATATATATATATATATATATATATATATATATATATATATATATATATATATATATATATATATAAAACAAACAAAAAACTGTAACAAAAACTAACTTTGATTTCCTTTTTTAATTTTATTTGTTGTAAAATATTCTTCCTTTAAAAAAAACAGATTTTCATGTGTACTTTCTATGTTTGTTTGTTTGTTTGTTTATTGTTTAACGTCCTCTCGAGAATTTTTCACTCATATGGAGACGCTACTTTCTATGTAAGCTAATCTAACAACAACTCGTTGGATTATTTTTTTTTTTTTAAGCTCAAGCAAAAATCTGTTAAACATGTGATGGATGGAGGGTAATATATTTCGGGCGATTTTTAACAGAAATATGGGAAAATACAGAACAGTACTGTACATGTACATCCTTTAAAAGGAGTAAATGAACTAACATCGTTATCTTAATTCTAAAAATACTGAAACAATTGAAAAAAGGAAAACCTTTAGAGAAATTGTTGTAAAAAATAGTCCTGTGGACTTGACAATTTAATTCTTACAAAAATATTGTGATAGTTAGAACAAAAAAATGTGTCATCTTGAACCTGTTATATCAATGAAGCCGATTACCAATATGTATGTAGATTTAGTTACAATTTAGCAATGACAGCTTATATTAAGCCGCGTATGCTTTTGTGATGTAGGATGATGAAAAACGATCAGAAAACTTTTGCATACGATTATCTCGAAAGGTCAAAGAATATCTGCCTTTGTAGATCGATACATCATTTTTAGGAAAAACTTAAACCGTATTTGACAT